CATTACAGTACATTACAGTACATAACTCATGCTACATTTGAATAATATAGTGTAGGACCATACCTATAAGGCATATTTATACTTTTTATTTTTCAAAATACCAAACAGATCATGCATTTTAGCCATTCCTCATTTCGCTCAATGTAACACTGTCTTTGCATGGGCTGATTCTGTGAGAACAGCACCATCTACAGGCTTGGCATATGTACTACAGCGTCTCCAGCGCTTTCCAACGGCAATGTCCGTGGCTGTCTCCTCCTGATTGGTGGAGTTGGTCCAATAGCCGTAGCGCCACTTCTGTGACGTCATAGAAGTGTTCAAATCTGGATCAGTCTGTATCAGATCCGTTGCAGCCCCTTTTTAAGAGATTTGGGTATGGAGGAAAATAGAGAGGGTTGTGTTTCTGACACTTGGTGAGTTCCCTGGAACACCGGGGACACATATTCATGTATACAAGACGTACAAAAGTGCATTTTGCATGATAGGTCCCCTTTAATATAGAAATCGTAAAACAGAGAATCGTCCTGGTGTGTAATGGTAGACAGAAACACAGTAAGACAAATATACACATTTGGGAAATAGAATAATTAAATCAGTGGAAAAAAATACAACACAGTATATCTGACTTTAAATATATATTATAATAAATACATCCTGTGTACTGGTCTGTCATTCGTTATTTCCTGCTTCATGTTCACATTGTGACTCCTCCCCCTTTTCCTCCAGATCCCCATCGCCACCAGTGGGATCCGAGCGATGGGCTTCCTGATGAGGCATAACCTGAGGACGGAGGGGGGGGGCGCCGTTAACCAGCGCATCGTTACACAGCTCGTCAAGGTAAGCAATGACTTCACTTACATCATGTGTACAAGAGAGGAAGGGATTAGAGAATACGTTACGATCCTATTGGCACTTTGTGAATATATATATTGTTCTTTTTCTGTAAGTGTCGAGAGAACTTCACCCTTTTACCGTATTTTATCTTATTTGTTTTGGTATCACTCCTTTACATTTGACTGTTTTCTGCTTTTATTATCTCCATTTTCAGGAACAGAAAGCTTGTTATAGGGGAAAAGGTTCACACGGACACAATCAGAGGCTAATTAGGGGAACTTTAAAGCGGCTAAAGAGCCAGTAATATGCCTCAGAAGTTGATGGAGACGTTGATATATCTACAAACCTTCAATTGCACGATGGGCATGTGATAGATGAACTTAATGGATATATCAATTCATCAGGTTGACAGAAACATGGCTACGAATGAATGCTAATGTCACTCCATGCTTTCTTGATGGGCAAAACAATAACTGTGCGGCTGAATGTGTTTATGAATTGTTTTTTGAAACTCCGGGAACGATGAAAAAGCAGTAAGAAATAACACATTTTACATACTGCAGCTACTTTAGGTATATATATTAGTCGTGGACGTCTAGATAAACCAGGGGGAAGCACAGATTTGTTATGTTTTCAAGAAAGTTATCAGGGAAATAAGTTGGGCTATTTTAGCAGTTAGCTGGCACCCCCCGCCGAACTGCTTTATTCAGGGTTTGAATCAAGTTCATTTATTTTGAAGAGGAGGAAAAGCTTTGTGGACAATTTGGCTGCCGTGAAAACCTCCTCAATGTCTACAGAAGCTGAATAAATGTTAGCCGTTAGCTCGTAGCCATTTTATAGATTTTAATCTCAATGAGACTTTTACCTGGTTAAATAAAGGATATATAAAAGATATAGGTTTTGTGTTGAGACGTGTTTTTCTCTGTGTCCCCTCAGAGTCTCCAGAACCAGTCCAGTGACATCCGGCTGGTGTCAGAGAGGGTTCTGTGGTGGGTGTTTAGAGAGGAGGAGACCCCCTCCATGGAGGCCAGCCTCATCAAGCCGCTGCTGAAGAGCCTGCTGGATAACACCAAGGACAAGAACACCAGCGTGAGAGCGCAGAGCGAGTACACCATCGTGAACCTGCTGAGGCTCAGGCAGGGGGACACCACCATGCAGGTCAGGATGCTCACTGTTACAGAATATTACAGAACATTGACTATTACATGACATCACAGAACAACCCAGGCTTCCAGCTGCATTTCTGCCTCTCCCTGTGAAAAAAACAATAACTCAAGGCCTACTATACATTACATTACAGTACAGTAAATTACAGCACATTAAATTATGCTACACTACATTAAAGTACAATTACATTACAGTACATTACATTAAAGTACATTACATTACATTACATTACAGTACATTACATTACAGTACATAACATTACATAACATTACAGTGCATTACAGTACACTACATTAAAGTACATTACATTACAGTACACTACATTACATTACAGTACATTACAGTACATTACAGTAGAGTACAGTACATTACAGTACAGTACATTCAATTACAGTACAGTACATTACATTACAGTACATTACATTACAGTACATAACATTACATACATAACATTACAGTACAGTACATAATATTACATTACAGTACAGTACATTACAGTACATAACATTACAGTACATTACATACATTACATTACAGTACATTACATTACATTACATTACAGTACATAACAGTACATTACAGTACAGTACATTACAGTACATTACAGTACATTACAGTACATAACATTACATTACATTACAGTACATACATTACAGTACATTACAGTACAGTACATTACATTACAGTACATACATTACAGTACATAACATTACAGTACATTACAGTACATTACATTACATAACATTACAGTACATTACAGTACATAACATTACAGTACATTACAGTACATTACATTACATTACAGTACATTACAGTACATAACAGTACATTACATTACAGTACATTACATTACAGTACA